ACTTTTTCTCATAAGCAGGTAAAATAATACTTTGATGTGCTTATGTGGTATGTACACAATGCATGCCTTCAAACAGACGTTTTGAGTCTCAATGCAGATTTAACTAAATTTGGAATTTGTTTTCCCACATTCACTCAAATTACGCAATCAACAAATGAGCATTGCTTATGGACAAGTGCATAGTTGAGTGGTTAGGTGCAAAAATGAAGGGAGTGATGTACAATTACAAAGGCTAAGGATGATTAGTGGTGTGAAATGTCAATGGTTTGATTACTTTTATGTAATGGTATATTTATTTCTAATGTAATGTTCATTTTTCATACAGCTTTTGATAATCTCGATATGTGTAAACAACTGCTTGGATGCAAAACTAATTTCTGAGAATTTTGACATTATTGAATTATATGAAACTATATAATGCATACACTGTGTTGAATTCAGTAACATTACTTTAAAATGCTAAATTACGACATATTGCCAAAGATTACAAATATTGAAGACAATCATGTTGCTTGTTAATATTGCCGGAAATATTTTTTTCTGAATTTGGCCATGTATACATATACTGTATAAGAAATACTGTTGCTTTCACTTTAGTTTTACTATAAATGACAAAATGTTGTGACAAAATGAATGTATTGCTCATACTAAGTATTGGACTTTTTATATCTTCTTTTTTAACTTTATAAACTCCCTGTTCTTACAAACACAACTGAACCACCACAGCATTTTATATATGACTAGAGGGAGTTTAGGTCAATGTATGCGAGTTATTAGTCATTTAATATTTCCGGTCTAATAAAACTATATGAATAAACTTGACTGTGATGTCATTTGTAATGCAAGTAATAACAGTTATCATAATTTGCTGTTTTGTTAAGCACTTGTTTATCTATAGGTTCGGAGTTTGGTTTAATTATGAAGTCCACCAACGCTTAGTTTTCAAAATGGATGTTCAGATCTGGACACTTGACTGACACGGCACATAATTAGCCTGTGGTGGGCAGCTACTTCTTTGGATAAGAATTCTCAGTTATTCCATCTTGGCTCTTTAAGTATGATCAATCTAATGTTTTTTTCATTTTAATTTAAATGTCATTTACTTTGCCAGAGAGAATGGTGTTGCTTTTTAAAATGTTTAAAATGTTTTCTCTGTGAAAAGTCATTTTAAAGAGGAACACCTTCCATGTCTCCTGAAATGTGGGTATTGAGGCTAAAATAAAAATGAAGGCTGTGTTTTATATTTCTTTATATTACTGTACAGCTATGTGCATGTATAGACAAGCCAAGTCAGATACTAAAATATCTGGATTGCAAAATCCCTTCTCTGTTCCTAAAAACTACATCAACAACTCATGCAGTTATTTGAATGGCCTCTGTGTCAGACTGCTAAAGCTGAGATGAAAATTCACCTTTCAGTAGGACAATAGTATACTTGATCAAGATAGAAAATGTTATACAAAATGAATAAATGTTAAAGACATGAAACAATTTTATCCCTGGAACAACTAACACTGAGGTTTTATTGGTCCAGAATGGATTGAAATAAATAAATCACAAGGGCCTATTGACATTCTCACAGTCATACTTTATCTGTTGTTAAAACTTATGTACAGTATATTGTATTTTTGTAGTTTGTCAGTAGTAAAGACCACGTATTTATAGATTCCCACTAGAGCATCTGAATTACATACTGTATAAAGTAGGATCTACTAATCTTCTCCTGCTTTAAAGTACAAAATAACAGATCTTAATAAGAACTTACATAACTTACAAACTGATACATAATATAGTATCAGACATACAATGTGTAAATTCTGGTTTGTCAATATGACATATTTATTTGAATTTGTAATACAAAAAATCGAGGAGAGTCAGACAAACTCTAAAATGTATTCCATCTCAGTTAGAGATATGGAGATGATCTAGATTTAACCTGCGTGTATTAAGGGACAAGACCTTTGCCATTCGGAAAATTTAGCTGTTTGAGCAAAAAAATACTTTGAAGGTAGTCTTTTGTTCTGAGTTTATATAAATTGCACTATACAATGCTATCATGATTAACTTACATTATTATTTATTTTCTTCAATGAGTTGCATTATCCAATTCTGTAATGTGATTTTTAAAGCAAAAAAATCACAATTAATTTATTTTGTCTCCTCAAAGAATCAGAGAAGTCTGTTCAGCAGACATATAATTTGTTCTGAGCATGGTAACATCAGAGACTTTACTAAACCTTCCAGTTCTGAAACTGAATATAAAACTTTACTTGTATATGTAGTCAAGGTCTAAAGCTTTCTGAATGTGACAAGGCTTGCCAATAGCTCTGGAGATAAGAGTTTAAATATTTTTGCTTATCAAAAGACTAGGTTTATCAGTTAAAAGATATGTGTGGCCTTGACATTGTTAAAAACAAACCTTTTTCTGCAATTTTCTGAGCTGTATATAGATTCCATGTTATGTAAGGACCTATTCAGTTAACCAAACAGTAAGATAATGATCACTGCTTCTACTGCTGTCCACAAATGTAATGTAAATGTCAAGAGGAACAACATAAGAAAAGAATAAGATCACAAGAAAGGTGCCCAACAAGAAGAGGCCGTTTAGCCTGTCTAGCCCAATTAGTAGTTAATAACTAAAACAAGGATTTCATCCAGCTGTTTCTTGAGAGAAGCTGGAGTAGGATATCAGCATCAATAACATGGTTGATCAGCTTGTTCCAAACTCCCACAACTCTGGGCAGAGAAGTACTGTACCTCCTGTTCTTGGTTTAAAATGCAAATCTAGATAATGTCTATTTGTGTCCTCTGCTTCTTGTTTTACCGTTCATTCTGAAGTAGTCCACTGAGTTGACTTTGTCAATGCCTTAATACTTTAATACTTTTTTTCAGGTCCCCTGGTGATTGTCTCTGTTCAAGACTAAAATGGTTCAATTCTTTCAACCTGTCAGTGTAGGCTATTCCCTTAAGCGCCACAATGTATCTGGTTGCTCTTGCCTGGACTAATTCCAGAGCAGCAATATATTTTCTATAATGTGGTTACCAGAATCGTGCAGACTATTCTAAATGAGGCCTCACTAGTGTGTTTTACAATTTCAACCAAGCATCCCTTGATTTAAATTCTGTGCTTTTAACTGCATACCCTAAAATTTTGTGTGCCAAAAGTCTTTTTGGATGCCAAGCATATCAGGATACCAGTAAAAGCAGAGCACAATAAATAAACTGAAATATTTCATCTAGTAAAAAAAAAAATATTTTAGTGCCTTGTTTTGTCCATTGTTTGCTGTAGAATCAGACTATTTACAATAATCGAAGAATCAATTTATGGAGGAAAAAAGACTAAGATTGCACTGTAGTACTGTATCAAAATATAATGAAAATATTCTTTTTTGTTTTATAGCAGGATTTTGACTATCCATTTCTCTTAACAGCTGTGGCCTTATTAGTTTCTTTTGAATTAATTTCTGTTTTCCTTCGATTCAAGTGGAGCAACAAGTGTAAATGTATCAGAGTGTTCAGTGATACATTTATTTAATTTCTCCTTTCTCTAGAAACAGATGAAAAGAGAACAGCAAATAATCCAGGCGAAGTAAGTTACATAATTTATTTTCTTTAATGAATGGAAAACATCTGTCTATCCTTTTTTGACATTATATTTCAGTTTATTATGTTTTTAATTTAGATTTTATATTCAAGGTATTTTGAGTCCCTCGTTTGAAAATAAAAAGTTTAAGTGAAAATGTTATGTTACAGGCATTTTAAAGTCAGAATGTTCTTGCACATTAGCATTTTTAATATTAAAGTGGATATCTGCAATGTAGATAAATGAAATAAATATAACCAGAAAGTATATTAATTACACATGGCATACCATTCCAGACCAAAATATACAGAGTGGCTCTAGATTTAGTGATTCCCTTCAATTATTTTATAAAATAGAAAAAAACATGAACTTTCCTAAGTAAGCATCCTTAGAGTCAAAAGTCTTAGCTTAGATATTTTAAATCTAAGATACCTTATTTAAATTATTTTTATTATTTAGTAGTAAAATGTCCAAATTTATATAAAATATTTTGAAATAGTATTTTTTGTTCTTAAAACATGGGTTTATTTAAAACTGGTATAGCAGATGAAAGAAATCATTCTGTAAAGGAATGTTTTTCTTCTATACAATTGTAATATGCCAAAAACAAATGATTGTTTTTGTTATTTTTTTCATACTTGGGTTGTAAGGGAGCTTTTCAAACTCAATGAAGTAAATACTTTTTATGTGTGTTATTTTGATTCTTATCACACTTTCCAGACAGTTGATATTTTTCTTCTTGGATCATTTTGTGCTCAGAAAAATATCCAAGAAGGGTTTTCAATAATAACAACATTTAACTGATGCAGGAATTAATGAATATCCAAATGTGCTTATGCCAAAAATAACATCAGCAGAATCTGATATCCCTCTTAACAGCTTTTCCATTCTGTCTGCCAGGCTCAGAGTGCTGAGATGTCACCAAAGCAGAGAAAGCAGAGTGTCTACACACCTCCCACAATGAAAGGTACTGTCCAGGTACTGATCTGTACTATTGCATGGTTGCTTGACGGGTTTTGGATTGTGGCTGGTATACAGTTTCTTTATCACATTTCCTACAGTATGTGACACACAATATGTCAGTGTATATGATGAATGATATTCAATGTTTTACCTTATGTTTCTGTGAGTTCTGAGAGGTTTGTGTAGCCACTCTCCAATAGCAGTATATTAAGTTCATTATACAGTACCTATGTTTCATTTCGATCCTAAACTTGTCTGAAGGTCACAAAGGGAAATCTCCCCAAATACCAGTTAATTAAAGACCTCCTGTACATGCAAAGTCCATGTTATACATGTTTTATATATACAGTCTTTTGTTTCTGTATTTAATTGTACACAATTGATCATAAAAATAATGTGTCACTAAATTGATGTAACAAGAGTGTCTTCTACATGTATCAGAAAAAAATCATCAATAGGTTGCTAAATTGCATAATTTTGTTAATTTATTATCTGCAACACAACACCTACTCAAGTGATTAAGCACAGCACTGATGCAGACTGGTACCAGTGTTTATTTTTGCCTTTTTGCACAGTAAAAGACAGCTTATACCTCACTTCATTTATCTATGAGAATAGTGAGACTGGTAATGGAGCTGCTCAAACAATATTATGCAAGGTTAAACTAACTTTATTTTATACAATATTAGTAAGAAATAAGGACTCTTAAGAGCTACTGTAAATTAACCTTAATGATGTATCCATTGCTCAAATGTGTGTAGGAAATGTGAAGGTACTTAATTCTAATTGGGGCTTTAAGAATTGCTTTACAGATTCATTGTGTACACACAGGTAAATCTCAGCGTAGGACAGAACCCATCCTCTGGATTATAGAATTACACTTACTTATAAGTGCATAATTTCAGTTCAGTAATCTAGCCATAAATGGTTGCTTGCTACTGTATTCTACAGGCAGGGAAAAACAATAAGAAAAACTTTCAGACCCTTTCACCATTTATTTTTTGCTTTAAAGTTTGGAGTCAAAGCTTAATACTTAAAGTAGCAATTGATATTTGTCAGATACAGATCCAACTCCACACTACCTCAAAACAGTTGCATAATTCAAAGGTTGAGATGGGATAAAATATCTACAATCTTGTCACTCCACAAAGGAGATTTGTATGGAACTAAAAAAAACATCTCATGCTCCCACATGGGCTTGGCAATAAGGTGAAACTGCATGTGACCCATGTTGCAAATGTGTTTGTGGTCAGACAAGGCAAAATTAATGCAGATCCAGTTTATTACTTTACTCAGACAACACCATCCCTACTGCCAAGCATGGTGGTTTCCAGCATGATCTTATAGTTCTGTTTCTCATAAGCAGGGACTGATGAAAACATGATTCTAACCTAAACTGTAACAAAACTTCACCTTTCAGTAGGACAACAATCCAAAGCAGAAGGGCAAAGCTACACTAGAGTGCTTTAATAATAAGAAACTGAACATCCTTCACTGGAGTACTTAAAGAATAAGAAACTGAACATCCTTGAGAGTCCCAAAGTCCTGACTTGAATCTTATTGGAAAGTCTTAACAGATGTGCATAAATGATCTCCAAAAAATGTATGGTGGTTTGAGGCAAAACATAGGTATAATATTGGTAGAGACTTACTCAAAAGTTAAATTGTGTACAAATAATTTTATAATTGCATAATATGAGATAGCACATGAAGGCTCTGGATGCTTTTGCAAGGCAAAATATTTATATTTCTGAAAACCAAACCACAACATGCTTCAATATTTAGGCCCATCTGCAAAGGATTTAGTTTTATAAACACATTACTAAAGGATCAAGCAGGCCAAACATTTCTTTGGGTTTGAGACCAGTGTTATAAACAAATGGCAACAAACTGTTAATCAAGTGTATAATGTAGGGAGTGGTGGCTCCATGAGGAAGCCACCATCTTGGCTCAAAACCCTAACTCTATGGCGTGGCCTTGAGCCAAGATGGCTACCCTGTAATTGGAAATTGATGTAAAATTAAATACAGTTGGACTAACTAAGTGTATAGAACTCAGAGGAAATGGAATTCCATGGGAGGGAAAAGAACTGTTCAGATTGGCTCTCTGTGGAATAAGATATACCTTTACATATTCGGGTATTCATTCAGTTATTTATACTTAAGTATAGTTGGAAAAAAAGAAAACCCATCTGTGTCTAGGGTCCCGTTTGGAAAGAAAAGAAATTGAGGACTCCACAGTTAGGGGTGATTACCAGAGATAGATTGGGGAGTGTAACAGGCCTGTGGAACTAAGAGAGCTGGGTTGGTTGGAGGCACATACAGTTAGTGCTGTACAGAGGTGTGTCACAGGTTCTAGTGTTTTGGGAATTCAATTTTCAAGGTCTAGTGAGGAAGACCTGTGCTGCTAAAGAACAGAATTGGCTTGCTAGATCATTGCTAACAGGAGGAGCTAGCACCTGAAGACGTAGGTATTGCCTGGCAAGATTGTACTATTGTTGCTCACCACAGACTAGAGAGGAGGAATATAAACAGCACAGAGTGAATCACTTATACATCCTGTGTCTGAAGAGCTGCAGACAGAAGGGCAGTCTCAGAGAGAGAGAGAGAAAATGGAATGAAGAGGAAAGGAAGGAAATTACCAAATGGCCGCTGCTGTGTCAGGGATACCTGGCCTTGTTATAGAAAAGTGGCCCTTGCCAAACAGGACCAGCCAGATGAAGACTATTGAGGAGGGAGGTAAAGCAAAAATATAGAAGAGTTGAACTGTAACAGAGTTGAATGAAGTAAAACAAAATAGAACTGGGCAACACAGAGAGAGTCTTAAAAACTGTATTCCTGTGATCCCATGGAGGTTCCAGGACATTGTAAGTGGAAGTGGAGGCCACTAAAAATGCAAAAAGATCATGCGAGCTATAGTAGGGTTTCAAGAGAGTAAAAGTGGGATTTGCACAAGGCATTACCAAATTAAGATTATGTTTGCTTGCATAATAGATTAAATTAGCATATTATGATGTAAAATGGAGATGAAAATTACAGTCAATTACAGTTTTGTGCTGAATGGGATATGAAGACCAATCATTTATGATACAGGTAAGATGTATGTGCATGTATTCTTATTAGTTACTTGATATTAGCATTTCAGGGTGATCTCTAACAGGACAAACATTTTATACTTCTGTTTTATTTCTAATAGGGCTATTATACCCATTATACTATTTCTTTCCATATTTGTGAGTGAGTTTGTGGTGTAAACTTTGCATTAATTCAATAATTCTGCTAAATCCTCACACTTCATGACAGTTTGGTCCAGTAATTTGCAGTACAAAAAGGAATTACATTAACAAGTTTTCTTGATTTTGCTTTCAGTTTCTGGGCAGTGGATTATACTTTTCTTACAGTAATGAGAGAAATGTGCCACTCTTTTACTCGTTGCATGGATGTTATCCAGCATGGTGCAGTAGTTCATGACGACTCTACATGTCATCGTGTATTTTCTGGTTTTTGTTTCTCCTTCAGGGAAAATAACAAAATGGATTGCACCCACTGTAGAAGCTATGCTCTGTCAACAGAAAATTTCAGCTGATGACAGAGTGAGGACTACTGCATTTTTTTGTCCATTCCACCAGACCGGTTCTGCACTTTTTAAATTGGCAGAATTTTCTTCTGACATGTGCAAGATAAAATTCAAAACAAATGGTTAACATAGATACAAGAGAAATACTGTTTCAACCGTATGTTATTAGTTTCTTCATAAAAAATAAACGTAGTAATTTGGCAGGCTTTTTATGTTTTGTTTACACTTCAGAATCCATATTGCTGATTTTCAGTGTGATGAACATTGCTTTTCTTTTAAAACAAATCTTTTAAAACATTTTCATCTGTGGAAACTTTCGTAGCATAATTTCAACAAATGCTTTTCATGACTAATATGCAAAAGAGGGAATATATTATTTGTTTTAGTGATAACTTTCCACTGCACCTTCAGAACTGGTCTTCAGTATTACACAGCGTTCTAACCAAGGTTAAATGCCCTTCCTGTTTGTAATCACTAGTTATGAAAATAAAGGTTTGCCTAAAACGGTCAATTTTAGAACATGTTTTGCTTCTCCAACACATTAGGCAAATGTCACAAATTAAAAAAAACATATAGTTCTAAAAATATTTCAACTTCTTCAGATTATTAGCATATTTTCTTTTATTGTCTTACTCTTTCTCTCATACGTTACGTATTTTCATTGGAGACTGCTAAATAGAATACAGATATTGAAGGTTGTAGTGACCATAATGGTGGTGTCAAAAGTTTTATTTTAAGGAATTGGCTGGAGAGAATTCATACTCATTCATAAAGAGCTAAACAAATAAAAGTTGAGTCATTTGATCTATCCCTTTACTACAGTCCAGTTTATACCACACATAAATTCAGAAACCATTGTAAAGTTAATGAACTAAAGGCAATTTAAGTTAGGCAACCATTCTCCTGTCTTCCAGGAACACAGAAACTCAGATGGACTTCTGGGGTATATTTATAAAAGTGTGGGGCTCCTTCCAGATAATTCTGAAAAAAATGTATTCTTGATCTCAAATAAGTGTTTTCTGAAATGTGTTTCCCACCTGATGTATCAAGTGACACAGTAGTTAAGTGAAGTTATTTTTCTGCTGTTGGAATTTGCGCACAATGTTTTAAATATGTTTTAAATATGTATACAATGTTTTAAATATGCAGATGAACATTATATTGTAACGCTTATGGCCGACAGGTACTGTGTAAGAGCCGGCGTACCAGAGCAGGTGACGTCACCGCCCTTCCCTGTGATAGCAGGACCACAGCTACTGGGCTGTAGAGAGATCTCTCTTTAGCTCACGGGGCTAGGTCGCTGCAGAGAGACACGGAAGTCCCGGGTTTGAGCCTCAGTCGGGATGGGGCCGACCTAATGCGGCAAGGGCGCCCGCCTGAGCCCCCGTTGCGTTACATTGGTGTGAGAGTGGGATGGGATAGCCCTTCGCCGGGGGACGGCGATTTAAGCGGGGGAGAGTGTAACGCTTACGGCCGACAGGCACTGTGTAAGAGCCTCCAGTCGGGATGGGGCCGACCAGATGCGGCAAGGGCGCCCGCCTGAGCCCCTGTTGCGTTACAATATTTTCACACAAGGCAGATAAAGTACTGTAAATATCATGTTGCTTTTCTTTTAAAAAATCCATACTCAAAGTGGTTGATGAACTTGATATGCATTTCACCTCACAATCTCTGGTCTGAAAGCTTAATTCAGAGAGATTGTCTGAAACCTATCTGAGGGATTTTAAGAGCATGAATGAGAAATCATTAGAAGGCCCCACTGCTGACTCATGTAGGATGTGTTTCCTGGAATAGATGCACTAAGCAGACATTTATTTCTTTTATTGATTTAGGGAGAAGTCTGTATGAGTACTGGTAATCATCGTTTTCCCAGGCAGTAAATGGACTGGATGCCTTTGTTATTGTTTTCATTTTGCACTTAGTAGTTTCTTTCAGCTAAATTGAGAGCTTAATTAGGAGAATCTGCAATGTACTGTGTGCTACTGAGATTGGGAATGATTATATAATGTCACCTTATGCAGGCTAGAGTAGAATAATACAATTTGCTTTTTACTGTTCATCAGTATTGGCTTTGTTCCTTGACTTTTTTGTTGTCTCTTACATTGACAGATGTAAATATTGTTCCGTGAGTTTGTTGGGGTCAGTTATGGTGCAGAGCAACGAGTACAAATCATAGGTTTTAACTTAATAAATTGAGCAAATTGCTTGAATATTCTGTGTTTCATCTGTACATACCTTTGCCTGCATATATTCGTCTCACAGCATCTATTATCAGTAAAATGTGTAATGAATCTGTCATTTTTATTGAAAATACAAGTAAGATAACTAAGTTAATTTTTACCTTAAAGATTTCTCTTTACCAATGTGTGTCTCTACACATTTTATTCATTTTTAGAATTTACTTAAGACTGGAGCACTGTTACTCTGTGTTTTCACTTTTGAAGCTAGGTGTCTTGAAAGGGAGTTTAATCCTTAAATAAACGTTCTCAGTGGGAAAATGAGCTGTATGCTCTGTATTGCCAATACAGATCTACTTGTGGTGTCAGTTTGGGACAAGGAGAAGGCACAGGCCAAGTAGACAGCTTCAGAATTAAGGTACAGCAGGGCTTTTGAGGTACAGAAGCTGCATGTTAAATAAAAGAGTTCTGACTACTGTAGGTAGAAAACAGGGGATCTGAATTGTCAAACAGCAGAATAACAGATATCACAAGTAATCCCAGGTCTGTTTTGTAAAGGCTATATGAAAGCCAAGTTTGCGAAACTGAGGGTCAGTCACTGTGGATGAGCTTGATGGGAGCTGTTGTGTTTGAGCTATTGGGTACAGAATTCTGACTGTGGAAGATGTGTGATGAAAATCTACTGAATGGTCGATTGCGTTTGTCCAGGAGGAGGTGTGAAGGTTTGGCAGAGAATCTCTGCACCTGCAAGACTTGTCAGACATGACAGAAGAAATATTTTAAAATACATAAGGTGTGTACATCCAAAGGAAGGCTGCTGTCAAAGAGACCTTCTAGGCTTCTGAGTAAATAGTACATGGAAACAGCTGACAGCACTTTCACTTAAAACTGAAAGAAACATGTTGTGACACTGTGGTTTGGAGCCTTTGGGTTTAGAGTAAATTTTATTATATTGCATTAGTATTTTACTAGCACTTATCATTTTCCATGTAAATTTCTAAAGAATAGCTTGTATACTGTATAAACATAGAATTAATTCACTTTCAAAGTTAACTTGTATTATGTGAAAAATGCAGTACAGACTCAAATTTAAAACAAGCGTTGTATTTTATATAACCCCCCCATCTAATTAGTAATCAAAATAATCCCAGTGATGTGTTAGATAAAGATTATTGCTCATTTATTTTAAGACAATATTTTAATACATGTTCTAATACATATTTTAATTTGATAAGCCCTACAGCCCAGAAAGGCAGCATCCCTTTCTAAAAATTAAATCCAGTACATGTGAAAGAGAAATTGCATATCAGGGGAATAAATACTAAGGTATAAATGCTGTATACTTTAAGGATATTAGTAGAGTTTGATCCTTACGGGTTGCTGTACTGCACAGATGATGCATGAATACGTAAATAGTATAAAAATATACAGATTGAGGGGCAGTTGGTTAGGCAGTTACAGAGTTGGTGTAGTAAGAGTTAAAGAAGGCTGTGTTAATAAAGTGCATGTTCATCATTGAAAAGCTGTGTGGTTAATGACCGCCGATTAGAACACAAATAGAGAACATAACATATACCTAAAGAGAATTAATCAAAGTATATTATAGCTCTCAAGATCAGTTTTTGCGTTGGACTGTTTCTCCACATAGTGCTGTTTCCAGGGTGTTAGTTATTAAACATATTGCCTACATTGAATAGAGAGCTAAAGCCAGCAATGGAGCACCATCTTCTTTAGAACCAGAAGCACCTGGATCAAAAGTATTCTGGATGTGACCCCAACTGCTTAAAAAAGCACAAAAAATTGGCAACTATGAGTATTGTCATGACAGTTGTTTTCAGATTTACTTTATTCTCAGCCTGTCACCTTTGTCACTTTGTGACAGCTACAGTGACAGATTTATTCAAACACCCAATACAATATGCACATTATAAAACATAACATAGCAGAAGGATTTATTGCTTTATTAATTGGATTATAATGAGTTTTTGTTCCTATTTCATTGGATATAGGTACAGTAGCAAGGTGGTGCAGTGGTTAGCATTGATGCTTCACAGAAGTGGGGTCCTGGGTTCAACTCTGGACCTGAGATGCTTTCTGTGTGGAGTTTCTATGTTTCTATCTCCGTGTGTGTGTGTGGGCTTCCTCCAGGTGTTCCGTTTTCCTCCCACAGTCCAAAAACATACTGGTAGAATAATTGACATCTGGGAAGATTGGCCCTAGTCTTGAGTGTATCTGTGTATGTCCGCCAAGTGATGGACTGGTGCCAGGTTATGCCCTGTCTTTCTCCTGTTGCTTGCTGGAATGGGCTCCGGTTATAAAATGGATCAATGCATTTCATTGGGGTTCTTCGTACATCACTACTAACACTGTACATCACTTCGTACATTGTACTAACAATAAAGCTGTAAGTTTTGCCTATTTTCTAATTTAAGATAGCCAAAAGTTCAATGTCTTGATTCTAGATTATTTCAAATTATTTGTAATTTACTGATTAAGAAAGGTAGCAAATACGATTTAAATGCACACAACCAAGACCGACCAACCGATCAGGCTACACAACTCATAGAAAACAACATTCGAACATGTTCTATATTTACCTAATAATACACATAAATCCTTAAAGATCCGGTGATACTATCATTTGATGCAAAACACATTTTTGTAGGCTGTGTGGAATTATTGGCCAGCACCATATCACCCTGCAACTCACAACTGGCAGCCCACTGAAGCTAAGCAGGTGTGAGCCTGGTCAGTACCTGGATGGGAGACCACCTGGGAAAAAAAACTAAGGTTGCTGCTGGAAGCGGTGCTAGTGGGGCCAGCAGGGGGTGCTCACCCTGTGGTCTATGTGGGTCATAATGCCCCAGTATAGTGACAGGGACACTATACTGTAAACAGGCGCCGTCCTTTGGATGAGACGTAAAACCGAGGTCCTGACTCTCTGTGATCATTAAAAATCCCAGGACACTTCTCGTAAAGAGTAGGGGTGTAACCCCGGCATCCTGGCCAATAATTGGCCCTTACCAATAATGGCCTCCTAATAATCCCCATCTATGAATTGGCTTCTACTCTGCTCTCCTCCCCACTGAGAGCTGATGTGTGGTGAGCATTTTGGCGCACTATGGCTGCCGTCGCATCATCCAGGTGGATGCTGCACATTGGTGGTGGTGGAGGGGAGTCCCCATTACCTGTAAAGCGCTTTGAGTGGATTGTCCAGAAAAGCGCTATATAAGTGTAAGCAATTATTATTATTATTATTAGTTTTATTAGTATTATTATTAGTAAAACATATAAGTTTTATGTTTGATTAATCATTTTACATTACTTTAAATCTTGTCATTTAAATGGAGGAATTAAAGAGTAAGAGCATGACTGTTCTCTGATGAAGACAGGAGGTATATTTACAGGAGAATTTTGTTTTCTATGGTTGGTTCAGTTTTCCTAGGAAAGAATAATATTGATTTAATTACACAGAACAGGCCCTAGACATATTTACAATACCTGCTTGAAACGTTTCTTCTTTCTCCCTGATTACTATTCGATTATTACATACTGTATATCATAAAACTGCTTAAATTTAAAATGTGGTATATTAAATATATAAAGATGTGCCAGAAAAGCAACAACACATTTATAAATTGCAGATATGTTTCTGAATTATCTGACTTATTACAAAAGAGACGGAGATTAGTGTTACTGTATATTGCATTGAGTAGTGATTCCTAAAAATTAAGCAACCAAAAATCATTACATGAAGATCAAGTATCTAATAATTATAATATTTTGTGTATTTGATGGAATGATTTAAATAACGTCCTTGCAGTCTCTCTCGTCAGTACATCAAATGGATCAAATCTACTATGGCCAGGGAATTTAAATCGGGCAAACCTTTTATTCTTAACACATACTGTACTAATCATGTACTTGCCATCAGTAAAAGCTAACTAAATTAATCCTTTAACTTAAAAGAAAACATGCCCATATGCCGGGTTCCAGTAATTGGATGCCTAGATTTATTAGGGATTTTAATGTATTGCAGTTACAGGCTGTGAACAGGCAGATTCCCTAAAAAGTTGCGATGACAAGAATGATCTCCTGCGCTCCAGAAATACACAGCAGCTCTTAATGATGAGCTCAGAAGAGCAATCTGAGAAACCAAGGCGGAAAGACACACCATATCACCACCAACCTCCCTTTATACCAGGTAGGGCCTTTCAACCACAGTTCTGTCACCACTTTCACTGTAACTTGCAACAGGGAGATTAATTTACTGTACATTCATACATAGTACATAGGAGATTTTTTTCAAATCTTATCTTTGATTTTGAATTTTTACCACATACAAATTAGTTGAGTTGAGTAGATTATTGCCATATGTACAGTACAGTACATGTACATTGGAATTCTTAATTGCGCTGATCTCCCGGGACACACACAGTACAGCAGACAACACCACACAATGTAGACAGTACATTACAAACATAATAAATAATAACAGGAACAATAACTATGTTGAGGGACAATAAATATGCAGTATGAATCATTCATAGTCTGATTTCATCACAAAACTCAGCGAAAGAGGATATATATTTATATTTCATCAATCTACTGTACCATGTGTACTGAAATGCATAATGAACACTTGTAACATACTGTATGTATAATTTGTTTTCTAGCAACAAATAATATGTTTTGTGATGTTGCTGGTTCCTTTTTAATATTCTTGGGTTCCATACAGTATATACTGAGAAACATGGCCTTTCCCTGCTTCCCTGCTTCCCTGCTGCTATTGTCTTAGGAAAGCTGTTCCATGATTTACGTTACTTCCCTTCTGACAGAAACCATGTTGTCAATGACCAAACCAGTGCTACAATGACTAAGTACTTTTTCCAAAATACACCAAAGTGAAAAGAATAGAAAGAGAAGTAAACACATTGTGAAATGATACATAAATGAATGTGTATACCATATTTTGGAAAACCGCAATCCAAGCGGACGAAGCAGACAAAAATATTCCTGTAGGATGAAAAATGAGCAGAAAAGTTATGTGGGAGAGTTCGTCTTGTGCTTCCCAAAATAGTTGTCATTGGCTGCTTGGATCGTGTGTCAGATTCGTAAAGGTCAGAAGTATCAAATCTGAACAGTTAGTGTAGTTTCTGGAATGTACTGTGAGGGTTCTGATTCTTTGTACCAACTGAAAGCCTGCTTAAAGAAACAGCACACAAAAACTGGAGTATCCGGATGCCATACACATTTTCTTCAAAAACCCTAGGCTATGTATACACATATTTCACTTGGTCAAGCTTAAAGCAAAGTTTGTCTGTTAAGTTAGTCATTAGGTGCAACAGCTGCATAATACAGAAGTTAACACCAAAGATTTATGGGTAAAATTCTTAGAGTAATATAGCCCAGAAGACATTGTCATTTTGCAAAACCCAATACCTTTCTTAGTACTAAAAGTAATTTAAAAAGTATCAATATGATGTAGCTTTTAAAACTCAAAACACAAACTTAACAAAAATAGTTGTCCTGGTTTTTAATTATATTCTTGCATCTTATTCTGAGAAGAAGTAAGATTATTTGGCTCATTTTATGCTTGCTTGTTCATGAAAAATGTTGGTAGTCTGATACATGTGATTTAGAAATCTAAAACACATTTGTATTGTAAGCATTTGCCTGTGTTTTATGGAGTTGTTGGTACTACTTTTTTTCAGATGCTATAAGGAAAAGAAGAACAGCCTTGAGTTATTTAAATTTGAATTCTTATTTAAAACTGCTCTGTATTATTTGCGTTCCATGCCAGAAGCAAAAGTAATAATGAGGGGGAGGATGGGTGTACTCACAAACAATGAAACACTTGTCCATGTGCTTCAACATCTCTTCAATGAGGCCATGCAGTTCAAATAAATACAGTACATAACTCTATTATCCAAGCCTTTGTGAATTCTGTCTGAAGTGTATTACTGTGAGCATTCAGATATTAGCATCTGATGAATCATGAAGCCAAGTCTCTTGCAGTCAGCTGTCAGTGGGGGAGTAAATTGGTATGTGGTCAGAATTGACTATATGCCAATGCCAAAGAAAGGGTATCTAAATGGACTTTTGAGCTATAATTTGTGCTACAAATATACATTTTTCAAATATTTAAATGTATTATATTCAAAAATAAAGGGGGGGGGGGTGGCTCTTTATAACTTTGGGTCCATGGAGTCCACCCATTTGAGGTATTCTGTAACCAACTTAAAATATAGAAAATTAGAAATGTCTGAATGCCAGTCACTTGACCTAGAGTATGTTCAGTACAGATACAGAGAGTGTTTGCAGAAAGCATGTATTAAAAGGCTTCATAAACATTCTTAATAATGGCCCCTGATGTCCTCATAGGTACTTCTTGATGGTTGCAATATCTGTTCTGGCTGAGCTTTTGTAATGGCTACACAAAAGATAAAAATTGAAGAAAGGAATTAGGTCTCACTTTGCATATATGAACCTTAACATGTAATTCTTTTGCACTTGTAGGGGTGAAGCTAATGAAAACACAAAAAGAATCAGCTTTTCCAGAGGAAGAGGAAGGAATAAATGAACAAGAAGAAAATTGGTCCCCTTAGAAGACAAGAGGTGCCTTAATGGGAAATTTTGGATTTTTGTTGTAGCTTCAGATGAATGAACTGACAGCCTTTTCTAACTTGTCCTGCAGACTGAATTTAGCCATGAAATGATCATTTCCAGGTTTTATAAAACCTGCTAAAAATTAGGTCTAACTAATTTTTCCTCTAAATCTATAATGACGCATCACCCCTCAAATGAAAAATAATGTTGCAATTTATTAGCTGAATGTCATCCTCTTTCAACGTTAACACTTGTACAACATTTATGTTTGTAATCCTTTTGCTATCATTGTCAATTATTCCACAATGAATATTCAAATTATATCCCATTGAGTCTGCCAATTGCTATTGCAGAAATATTGATTGTAAACTGCAGATCAACATCTTTAAAAACAACCTTCAAACACAAAGAATAATGTTGTTGTCTAATATATCTACATCTTGTTCACTGCCATACAACAGCCTTAGACATCTTAGACACAATCGTGAGATATATATATGTAAGAGTACCAACAATTTACTGAAAGCCTCTAAGAGTTTTCCTGCTGCTTTAACAACTATGACTGTTATTGACATATCTCCATCTGGGTGAAAAAGAAATCAAGCTGGTTATAGAGCAATATTTATTTCATATTGATCAGAATCTTCCAAAATGTGAAGTTTGAAAAATCCCAAGGTAACCTATGCATACACTGTAAATATGAATCCATCATATTGACCAATCTAATCTAATAGACTCATTGCCATCATTCTCACTTGAACTTGTCAATCACTATAGAATTGTGTGTCTGCATAAAGAAAAAAAGATAATTGAGTGGTAAGGCCTTAAATAAGGCAACATGTCTAAGACTGTTGTAGAGCAGAGCATACATATACACAGTATAAAGAAGTTGTTTACTTTCTGGGTTACATAAACACTTACATCTAGTTCTCTTTTGCATTTAATTTTTGATTGTACTGTGTAACACATTTTGAAATAGTAAGAAAAAACTTATATTTTTAGAATAAAACTGCTTATGAACTTAATTTCTGGCTGCTTTCTTCTGCCTTGTTTAATCAACCATGCAAAGCTCATTTAGACTTCTGTCACAATATAAAGTTCATTTTACAAGACAGATGTATTAGAAATTCTATTTTATTAAATGGAAGAGTGGTGAAAGAGCTGTGTAAAATGTTAACTGTCTACAGCATTTGCCTAGTCTTTCAATTCTTGCTTCTAGGGGCAAAATTTGACTTGTGTGAAAACCATGTTTACCAGTTTCAGCATAGACTCTAATGTGCATTAAGGGGAAATTAAATTAAATAAAAATAAAGTGCAACATGCCTCTGAATCCATAATGCAAAATGTCTGAGACAGCGCATTAGGTTTCATTTAATGTATCCCTGTGTTCACATTATAAACCATCTTGGTGAAAAAATGGGATGTCTTTCTTTGTAGAAATCAAACACAGTCAGCAGGGTTGTCTGGCACTTAGCCTGATTATGGCCTGTATCAATGTCCTTCAGTTTTATGTAGAGCTTAGAAAGAAGGACAAATTTATGTGCAGCCTAGAGAAATCTGAGTTCACATTTTTATCATAATGCTTACGACTCAGCATTTTAAGGTCCCTTTAAGTTTGAATAGATGTTTTTTTTTTCTCAGTTTTATAAACTGAATTAGATTTGGATGTGTATGACAGTGAATGGGTAAGAAGTATTGTTTGGGCTTATTTCAAGTTTCTTTTTAATGGAAACACTGAAAGTTGACAGCTACTGTACATGTTTATACCAGAGCTTTTTATTGCTTATCTAAATCCCACAGTGCTGTCTTTTTTAACATCTAATAAAGCTTCTGATATAAGAATGTGCTTGTTATTAAGCAGACTCATCTTCCAAAATGACTTGACATCTATACTGTATGTTTCTCATCCCAAGTGTTTGCTGACGTTTGTACAGATGTATGTACTTTTGTGTTCATTACATATAGAGTTAAAACACTAAAGTATAACTTTTAAGGATGAAAAAGTATCGTGAAGATAATTTATATGTAATCACAAAATAGTTATATTTTAACACAAATTAACTACATATTGTACTGTATAAGTGGCTTTGGAAACATCAATCTTACCTCCCTTTGTGACATGTGACATGACTTGTGTCCACATACCTGTATGGTGAAGACTAAACTAACAGTGTTTCTGATCATTATATGGGGTGAGGCCTTTCATAGTCGGCCCTCAAGATGTGCCTACTGTAGTTACTTAAACAACTGATTTGAATTATTCCCTAAACTAAGCTGATGAAACTGGTGGCTCAATTTTTCAAACCCTGTAACCTAATTACTTATTGCTTGTTTAAATCATACATTTTTATACTGCATTCAAAAGACATTGAACTAGTAACTATAAACACTCTTAGATATGAACATATAGACTGATTTGATTCAATAAGACAATTATTATTAAACTATGACATTTCCATTTATTATCTTTAGGGTACTCACAATTTTCTCATCATGTAGTCCTTATATGATAATGTATCATGTTTAAAATCTTTAAATGTTTAGAATTCTCTGAGTAGAATTATGTGCTTTCAAGTCCCAATGGCTGTATTTTTTTTATTACACAGTATCTACATTCTAAAGAAGAAAAAATGCTCAAAAAGAAACAAGTTGACTAGGGGAATATGCTAGTTAGGGCAGCTTTTGGTCATAATATTAGAGTAATTTAACTTAAACATCCTTCCAATATAGTTTTTTTATTATTATATTATTATATTTGTTATTCTATTTCTTACAGTTTTATTCAGAAGCAAATCAAAAGGCTTCAAATTTTGTGTGAAGTATCACGCTATTCATCCATCCATTTACAGTCCATTTGTCTTGGGGAGGACATGTACAGTCTTATTTAAATTTAAATTAATATTCTTTGTGTTTGTAGAACCAATGCAGAAAGATAGGTTAATTGAATTTATTAAATTTATTTTAATATTTAAACAAAACATTAAGCTTTTTACTTGCTCTTAAGAATATATTTTATCCACTAATATGTCACTTTACTTTACTGTCAACTGCAATGGACCATCTAATTGGCATTTATGAATAATTGGTCTATATTATGTAGGTTCCATGCAGATAAATGTATGTACTTTTAATTAACTTATTGTTTTGAAGAAAACATTTTATAGGCCTTTGGTGTTTCCATTGAAACATACAGTTTGTAGAAAGACTTTTTTGGTATCATTCTCTTTTATTTTTAACATTGGGGGACGTATCTGGATGCTCTTAGCACAAATTCCTCATCCTACTGTACATAAATAATACTGGGGGTAAAAAGATTGGAAAGACTGGAATATATCAAACCAAAGAAGCTTTCCCTTTTTTTGTGGTGTGGCTACAACATAAAATTTACATTATTTTCTGTTACATTGGAAAAAGACCATTCTTGTAAAATGCTGTTTTCTTTATTTAAGAACATAAGAAATGTTATAAGAAAAGAGGCCAGTTGACCCACCTAGCACATTCGGTAAATAGTAGCTACTAGCTGTTTCTTGTGTAAGGGAGTGCCTTCTGGTGTCAGTTTTAAATGCACTTCCATGTGTTTTCTTCTTTTGCCCTGTGATTCATGTTTCACAGTTTGTTTCTTCTTGAAGTACAGTTTCTCCCTTGTTGCTTCCTTAGAGTGCAGACTGACTGCATACCGTAGACACCATCGGTTCTAATCTGGGCTACAGTATATCATTACCTGCCATCTAATACTGTCTGCACTGGTTAGGCATCCGCTGTCCAGGGTATCCTTTGTTTGCTTTGAACATCAACCCCTGTGATTTACTTATTGCCCGCAAATATGCAGACATGTGAGCAAGAGATACTGTACATCATTTGACCATCATCATTAATAACTCCTGCTTGAAGGTGAGGCCAGCGATTTTGTTAGATTAGTGCAGCCACAGTCACCATTTATGTGGTACATTTGCTGGCTGTTTTAGTGAATTAAGTTGATTAATGATTGGTTATTCCAAGTTCCAAATTGAGAGTGTATAATAGAAAAATAAAATTGTGTATTCAATTTAATTCAATTAATTTAAATACAAAATACTTCATAGTTGGCCTCACTCAAACCATCTGGTAAAATAACTCCCCAAATAGCAAGGAATAGGGCTGACCTACAGTACCTCAAGTCTTGTCCTGTACAACATGGTACCACTGCTGTTATAGATATGTACAGTAACACTTGGGGCCCTCTGTGCCTTAAACAACAATGACTTATTTAGGTACAGTTCACTGTTTTTGTTTCAGAATGGAGACAGCTTGATCACATTTTCAGACTGGTTGTTATGGTGTTGACCGCAATCACCTGTGATACAGTCAGTACAGTCCCTTTTAACTTGGAATGGCTGGGCTGTACACATTGTTTTAATGAGACCAGGTGAGGCGTGACTTGATTAATCAAAATCATACCTATTCTATACCTTGAATGTGTAGCAGCAGAATCAAGAAACAGTGGAAAATACTGCCCTCTTGTACCCATTATTGCAAAATGCAATGCATTGTTTCTTAAGTAGCAATTTTTTAATATTATGTACTGTAGTTCAAAAATGGCCCAAAAACTGTCAAACCATTATGCAAGACAACATTTGTTTAACAACTGATAACATTAAGTATGAAGGTCAAAGCATGAACTGAAAAGTGATGTAAACTGCTGTGATATCAGCTTAGCACCGTAAAGTACTGTATAAATCAAATAATTTAGAGACAAATGTTTATCAGAATAAGCCTGTGTCAATAATAGTCTAGGGAGTGAGTCGTTCCGAAAGAAAGGCAGCATCTGCAGAAAAACCGAGCTAACAGTCCAAGAAAATATGCTGCATTTATAACTGATCTGAAGCAGAAAAAAAGTAAATAAGATGCTGAAATACTACAGACTTAATTAATGAAAATACTTTGCCAGGTTACATTACAAAGCAGTACAAAGCAGTACCTGTTAAATCTACCCAAATAAAAGTATTTCTTTTCTTTCACTGCTTATTGTCATGAGTTATTACAGTGACATAGGCAGTGAAAGAAATTATATGTGTACATAGGAAATTTAAATGGTACTGTAAGTTACACGCAATAATTTATTGAGCAGACTGAACAGAAACTCTTACACATAACACTTGTTTTGCAATAATATATAAAAGCTATTTGTTAGGCATAGACTTCCGATTTCAGCCATGGGGATTAAACTGGTAACTGCCAGTTCCAAAAACAACAGCACTGAATGACACAGGGGGATGAATGAAGTCACTGTTGTGACAGTTTATTCTTACATATAAAGGATTACATACCCTTGTGTAAGCAATGCTTGCTATTCTAAAACCTTATTATTCCCCCTAGTGAAAGGATATAGTCAGTGCAACTTTTCTTCACATTATATGAAACATTATACTATATACTGTACATCCATCCCTCTTTTTTCTAACCACTTCATCCAAATCAGGGGCTCTGGGGAGCCAGAGCCTATCCTAGCAAGCAAAGGGCTCAAAGCAGGATATACCCTGGATGTGATGCCAGTCCAGCACACGGCATAATATATACAAAGCACCGATATAGAATTTCTGGACCGATAACGATAACCAATAATTAACAGCTTGTTGTGGCTGATACAGATACCGATAACGGCAGCATCACACTACACAACTTTTCCTAGGATTTTCAGTTGTAGCCTTTATTTACATAATCAGTAATCGCAGTGCGCCCATTACCATCAGTTGTGTAGTGTGACACCCCCAGCGACTCAGTCTAGCACTCATAATAGCCTCTACGACTCTCTGTGACTCACTATGGTAAAATCATACAGGTTTGATTTCCTAGTAGCAAGTAGCTAGTCATAGGGGTGGGCTCTTATGTCTGCGACAGTCAACAGCCATTGAGCGCTCAACCAGAAGTACAATGTGGCTACAAGAAAAGAAGGAAAGCAGCACGGCGCAATACGAGATTTGGAACCGTGATGAAAAATCGTAAGGGAATCATGTAATAAGTCATTCCTTGCAATTCCTAGTCGTATAATTTGACACCCTCTAGGACAGAAAAGGCAGCGAGATTCAGCAACTGCAGTCGTTAAATTTGATATGCTCTCAGACTAGAAGTCGTGACAAAGGCTTAATTGATAATTTATCTTTTTTGCATTTTAAGTTCACAAATCCACATTTGATGTGTAATGAGGGTAAGAAAGCTAAAACTCTGTAAAGATGGATCATTGATTAAAAATTGGTGAAAATGTTCCACACCACCAACATTTTCACTCTGCACCAACTGTACTGTACCCAGTCTAGTGCGTCAGTGTGTGCACAAAAAAAAACTAGTTGTGCAAACAAAATCGGGCGCCACATTATTGGTTGTAATTATCGACTGTAATTCCAATATCGGAACGATAATAATAATTAAAATTTCCTATTTATCAAAGAATAATATATCGGCCTCCGATACATCTTGCACCCGTAATACAAATATATACAGTAATATATTTTTATTTATGCTTTTCAAGAAACTCCAACATGTTTATCAACATTAAAGGCATATACTTCAATGTCTTCAATATTCTAGGTAGGTATGAAAAGTATGAATCCTCGATAGAAAAGCTTTAATTGAAATAGTTTACTATGCCGCTTGTGAATGTTGTTAATGCAGATTTCACCAAAGACCAGCATTTGCAATTTCCTTTACACAGTTATGCAGCATGTGTTCTAAATATTTCCGAAAAAGAAAATCACGATTGATCCAAAAATGTAATACCTGAATAATCTATATAAATTCTATTTTTTAGGTAAACTCTTCCTAAAAAATGAATTACCTTAAGCTGAGTCTCCTCTGGCCAGGTTACC